TCTTTGACAGTAGATGTTTTTGGTAAGGGGACCACATCGGCCAGCTTCCAAATTTGCGGGACTTTACAGCTTTGAAAGGAAGAATTGATTATATTTGCAACTGGTGAGGCGAGAATATCCGAATAGGTTTTTAAAACCCAATTGGAAATACCGTCAGGGCCACTGGAACATTAATTTCTTGCAATTTTCTAGCTATAGTTGACTCGGTCACAATAATAGGCGTTTCATCGTTGTGTACAATTACAGCCGTATCTTCAGATAATGGAACATAGTTCTGTATCACATTTATAAAAACATTGTTAATTTTATTACTGAGGTTTATGTCTGTCTCCTGCCATAAATCTTGATGGAGGCGGTCTTTTACACTTTTGTTGTTTAGTTTAGATGTGCCACACAACTGCTTCACTTCCCGCCACCAATCTCGGGGGTTAGTGTTACGTAAATTATGAACTTTAGATTGATAATAATAGCTCTTACGACAACGTTTTCGTTCACGATTAACTTTATTACGTAACATTTTAAAAAGAGTGACATTACCAGATGCAAAGGCTTTTTGTCGACGATTTATCAGTGATTTCAGATTGCTATTAACCCATGGTCGATCATTAGGGTGGACTTTTATTGAACGTTCAGGCATAATTAAGTTCAAACCATAGTTTATAATGCTAGTTAAAAAATATAGTTTTTGATCATTTGAGGGTATGGACGATAAAATGTCCCATGGAATTTCCTGGAGAAATCGACCAAGACTTCTAATATTACTGGGTCGCTTGTCTCTTGTTTTAACAATACGCGATTGTGGTTCGTGCGATCTTTTCCTCGTTCCAGGACATATGGCAATTGTTAAATGGTCTGATAAGCCAAATGGAGGGGCACTAGTAGGAGGTGAATAGTATTCAAATAGATTGGTATAAATTTGGTCAAGAATATTGGCACCTCTGGTGGGAAAATCAATTACAGGTTTTAGTTGAAAAGGTTTAACAGTAACCTGTAAGTCCAATTTCTTGAAATCACCAGCAATAATGATTGCAGGGTTAGGAATTGAAGATTCAATATATTCTAATGAAGATTGGACATAGTCACGCATACTTGTACAATCGGCATCTGGAGGGTGGTACACAACAGCTATTATCATATTTGAGTAATTTCGTGGGAGTCGTTTTGGTTGTAAAGCTAGCCACAATACTTCGTGATTATCACTATCTAACCCCGTTAGGCGGTTGCAAGAAATGGTATTGTTAATATAAAAACAAACCCCACCATGGGATTTGTGTTGACGATCACGCCTGAATAATTGGTAATTTGTAATATTAATAGCTTCATCTGGAACGGATTCTTTTAACCATGTTTCACTGAAAAAGGCAATATCTATATGATTCGAAGTAAGAAATACAGCAATTTCATCGATTTTCGAGGCTAGCGACATAGTGTTTGACAATAATATAGCAGGTACAAAATGCGACGAACAAGACACGGTTTTACTATTAACTTCGGGGTTCACAGATACATGAATTAAATTGCTTGACTTGATTCTCTTACGACAGATGAGGTTTGGGTTGACATTTTCCTGGTTATTATTATATAAACAATGTTCAAGTAAGCTTTCCAATTCATTTTCCATCCCGGAAGACGATTTACCCCCGGCCTCGTCTAATAATAATATTTGTAAAAGTTCATTTTGTCTCTCAACATTGTACGTGCACGAAAATCCTTTCCCGCATTTTTGTTACGTTTATTATGTTTCCTAGATGGTTTTCGCTGGGTGATGCGGGTTGGAATAGATTGATAATTATTCATAGGAGTTGTATCATCTGTAATAATTCCACTATTACTGGGATTAATTACTGTGAGATCTAGACAATGGGGACTACATTCATTATGTTGGCCATGGTAGTGTAAATATCTTTTGTTAGTATTAGATTGACAAATCTCCACACATTCCTTCTCAATTCTTTGGCTAGTATTTAATTGATCCTGAATGCCTTGTGGATTGTGGTGCAGATCATGACATGGGTTCTTTAAAATTGGTGTATTATTTAAACAACTCTTAACATTTGACTTGGAATGACTAGGCAAATACTTTCCTACTAAGGTTTCGACTATACTGTCCGTACTATTCTGCTTTTCGATTATATTGTCCGTATTATTCTGCTCAGATTCGTCCGAGAAATACAAGCAAGTAGGTGTAATCACAGACGCAATAGGGCTATTATAATTCGTACATTGTACAACACATTCAGCCGATGTATTATTGGGAGATTTACTTAGTTGATCCAACGGTATAGATTTTGCATCGGTTGTTGATGCTTCTAATTTCGCCAAGGTTTCCTGCAAACTAACAAGCGTATTTGCCTGTTGTTTCACTGTTGATTCCAAGATAATGACATCCAATTTAACGCCTTCGATATCAGAACTGACTTCAGGGCATTTACACATGTTATGAGACGAGCGAATATTATGGTCGTCAGAACCAATGTCATGCAAAATCAACATCAGAATTGAACGTTTAACTTCACTTGCCTGTTTTCCCTCTATCCTAAGAAACTTCTTTTTAGCCCACCAATGGATATCAACGTTTTTGCTTTTAAACAACTTTTTCTCCCCACCGATCGATGACCAAGTTCCTTCGAAATTTAGTTCGTTATCAACAAACAATTTCAGCGATTCATAATCACCAGACCACGATAGTTTTAGTTCAGGATATCGATTTATATTTGATGATTGAGTTTGATGTGCAGCTGTTGACATCGTATAGAACTAAATTGCACAGTTTATGATGTTCTCAACACAATAAGTACTTCTTGGTTCGCTTTGTGGATTGTGAGAGATAGATCTAGATGTCGTAGTATCGTCGCAATATCACTGTATCACGACTAATGTATTCTCTTATGACTTTTGGGTCTGCCAGGAAAAGTTTTAAGATTCAAACATTTTCTGTACAAATAGTTTAATTTACATTGAACGGGACATAGGCTATGTCTGCACGCGAATGAAAACTTTTTACATGCACACATATTTTCGTACGATGCGATAGTACGTTGTGTAGATCACCATATGTAACGCGTACCGCGTAAACATTTTAAAGACCACGATGTTTGTACAAACCACCCACCGCCACCACCAACCGTATCCATCGTCGTCTCGTCAACAGTAACGACGTCCACAACAGTTGTGAATGAAAGCAGCGGCAACAGTGTGGAAATACAGGCAGCGGAAGCCGCAGAACAATTAATATCGAATTATTTCATCAACCGGATTCGAATTACCTCCTGAAGATATGCCTGATCTTTTCACACCCTCAAGTCCATCATCCTCAAACCCAAACTCCCGATCTTAATAAAATAAGAGCGCAACCACCACCAACACCACCAACGCCACCACCACTGCTATCACCACCACCTGAAAAACCCACATCGCCAAACGCAGGTCGGAAAGATATAAATAAAATGATGGAAATTTCAAAGAAACCCACCCCCCAAAAACGAAAAAGAGTAGCTAATATTACACCGCTTAGTAAAGAAAAACGTTCGGCCGGCAGACTAAACACCAAACCCTAACCAAGATTGAAAACGATACATTAACTCGAACGAAAAAAACAGCGAAGAACTTATCCTGAGATTTTTAGACGGTACCGAGAAAATGAAGAAAATAATCCTAACTTCAAGTCAAGAGAACATTGAACTGTTCAACGCCAAACAATTTGCATGCTATGAATTTATTGCAGATCTTAGACAAAAAATCGCTAGATACGATTAAAGAGCAGAAAGACATTTTAGAAAAACTACTGTACATAGAAAAAATCTAACACAAAATATTGAAGAGCGTAAAAATAAAAAACTTAAATTGTAAATCATATAAAAAACAATAAATATATCTATTTTTCTGTGCTGGTGTTGTGTACTCAGGTGAATAATATGTTTGTGATGTTACTCTGAGTGCATATCCACACCGGGCGAGCTTGAAAAATATGCCCGACCACGGTGGGATTCGAACCTACGACCTTTGGAATACTAGCCCAATGCTCTTCCAACTGAGCTACGCGGTCAGGACGGTTCGAGTAAGTGATATTTACTCGAACCGTCCTGACCGCGTAGCTCAGTTGGAAGAGCATTGGGCTAGTATTCCAAAAGTCGTAGGTTCGAATCCCACCGTGGCCAGGCATATTTTTCAAGCTCGCCCGGTGTGGATATGCACTCAGAGTAACATCACAAACGTAATAAATATATCTTTTGAAACAAACAATGGCGTCATTTTACTTTGAAAAATACCCCTCATTACCCCTCCATAACCCTTATTTAACATCCTCTCTTACACCCTTCCCCCACCATCTTTCCCCTCTTTATCCCTCTTTACCCTTTCCCAACCAATCGCCACACGCCACGTCATCCCGTGACGTCACATGGGTCCAAAAATGACGTCACATGAGTCCAAAATTGATAATCAGATTTCAAATAATGAGATACATATTGATGGTTTTAATATAATTCGTAAAGATCGAAATAGGTTTGGTGGAGGTGTGGTTCTATATGTTCGCCAAATCATATCATTCTCAGATAGAATAGGTCTAATCCCTGATGAACTTGAGATGGTCTGCATTGAATTAAGTTTACCCTACAATAAATCACTGCTAATAAGCACATGGTATAGACCACCAAATTCTCATATGAATATATTTGATTACTGGGCAAGCTTTTTAGCAAAATGTGATAATGAAGATAAAGAGCTAATCCTCATAGGAGATCTAAATTGTGATGTCAGTAAAACTATACCTGACCCTCACACATGTAAGTTGCAATTTTTATGTTCTCTGTATCAGATAGACCAACTTATTAAAGAATCTACAAGGCTAACTCCTAAATCAGCTACACTAATTGATTTAATATTAACAAATAGACCAGAAAATATTTCCAGATCATGTGTTATTCACCAGGGAATTTCAGATCACAGCCTTGTCTACGCTGTGAGAAAATTTACACTACCGAAAGGAAGGCAAAAATTCGTCAGGTTCGTAACTTTAAAAACTTTGTCGAAAATGATTTCATTCGGGATGTGTTTCAATTGCCTTGGGAGAAGGTCTATCAGTTTGGAGATCCCAATTTATGTTCGCAAGTCTGGAAATCACTATTATTTGATGCACTTAATAGACATGCCCCTCTGCGCCACAAGCGAATAAGGAATAACCCTGTCCCATGGATTAATCCTCAAATTAAAGAACTTATGAGAAAAAGGGACTATCACAAAAAAAGGCCATAAAATATGATTCGGAGTCACAGTGGGAATTGTATAAAACACTACGTAATGAAGTAAATATAAACATGCGGAAAGCAAAATCTAAGTACTTTGGTGATAAAATCCAGGCAAGCTCTCAAATGGGAGACAGTAAAAGCGGATGGGCTTGGATAAATTCGCTCTTAGGAAGAAAGCATAAGAATGCAAATATTAATGAACTGAAAGTAAATGATGATATTATTTCTGATGATAAATCTATTACTGAAACATTAAATGAATATTTTATAAATATTGGAATGAAGATGGCTGCTGAATCAGCATGTCAAAGCACTGATGCTTTAAATGATCAAGTAATTCATGAAAGTACTGTGCTTCTTCCTAAAGAAAATTTTAACTTCGCAGATATTACTATAGATAGTGTTTCCAAACGCCTACAAAAACTAAATGTCTCAAAAGCGACAGGTTTGGATGGAATACCTGCGAATATTTTAAAACTGACATCAACCCTTATTGCTCCATCTATAACTTTTATATTTAACCTATCGATTAGAACTGGTATTTATATAGATGAGTGGAAATTAGCTAGAGTTATACCAATTTACAAATCTGAGGATAAGCGTAAATGCGAAAATTATAGACCAATTTCAATTCTTCCCATAATAAGTAAAATATTTGAAGGGGAAGTTTTTACTCAAATATATAGCTTTTTGAATGAACATGCGCTTCTGTCTAAATTTCAATGCGGATTTAGACCAAAACATAGAACCTTAGGTGCTCTTATACAAATGTGTGATCAATGGCTACAAGACATGGATAAAGGCAAAATAAATGGAGTTGTTTTTCTTGATATATGTAAAGCATTTGACTCGGTGAATCACGAGATATTATTGGAGAAGCTTAAAACCCAGTTTGGAATTCACGACATTGAATTAAAATGGTTCCAATCATACTTAAGGAATAGAAAGCAAGTGTGTTCTGTTAATGATCAAACTTCTTCTGCAAGAACAATAATATGCGGAATTCCGCAAGGATCCATACTTGGTCCATTATTGTTTTTGCTATATATTAATGATATGCCTGACATTTTAGAAAGGACAACCCCATGTCTTTATGCCGACGACACTCAGATATCTTCCTCTTCGCATGATTACGATACATTGATTGACAATTTGAATATGGACCTTTCCAGTATTCATAAATGGCTTGCTAAAAACAAACTAAAATATCATAGGAAAAAAACAAAAGTCATGTTTATTGGATCTACGCATAATCTAAATAATAAAATAGGAAATAGACCCGTTGAGATTAACAAAATCCCAGTCCCACAAACCAATACATTTCAGTGTCTAGGTGTAAATCTAGATGAAAAATTAAGTTGGGAGAAACATATTGATTCTGTATGCCATAAGATTAGCGCTGGAATAGGAGCAATTAAAAGAATAAAACCTTATGTTCCACACAAAACCTTACATGATGTCTACAAAACATTAATTCATCCTCATTTTGATTACTGTTCTCCCCTGTGGGATAACTGTGGTTTGGGACTTCAAGACAAATTGCAAAAATTCCAAAATCGAGCAGCAAGGGTGATTACCGGAGCTGACTACGATGTAAGGTCGTCTGAAGTCCTAAACAAATTAGGCTGGGAAACCCTGGCTAGGAGACGAGAACAAAACAAGCTAGTATTGATGTATAAACCTTAAAGATCTTTTTTCTCGGAGAAATGCATCGCAGAATATTTATGATTTACGCAATAGCGAAACTGATCTCTCGTTAAAAAAACCGAAAACGGAATTTCTAAAGAAAACATTTGGATACAGTGGAGCAATTCTATGGAATAGTCTCCCGCAAGATGTCAAGGCGGCTGAGTCAATTACGTCATTTAAAACAATGGCGAAATTGCATTTAAGCAAATGATAAGCTAATTTCTCCAGGACCAAATGATGGGAGGACAATATAGATTGTGGGCGGGAGGGGAGTTAGTTTTACGTGAGGGTGGATGGGTACTTGTTTAGGGAGTGGAGGTTTGGGAGGAAGATGATAAAATTTTAGGGTGGGATTCTTACATATTTTGTTCTATATATAATTAACATTTAGCTCTTTGTGTGTATACGCCCTTCGTGGAAACCAGTTGTAAATAATTGTCGAAGTTAGCGTATTGAAATAAAGTTTTACATACATACATACAACACACTTAATGCCGCGCAATTTCAAATCCCAATCATTTCGGTCGACCGAGGCTTTGAGTTAGGACGTGCACACTCGACCGTCGCCATTACGACGCGAACCGGGTGCAGGAACCAATTCGAAATTTATAATAAACACCAATAAGTCACCAACCCGCCTTAGCACACGCCCACATTTCACATTGTCACATCACGTATAAAACTGCCCCCGTCCGTACGCCCAGGCAAACGCCCTATTTCGCCTTGGACACGCCCTTTTGGACACTCGCGCGTAATACTATCTCCAATTAAATTTCAAGTTGGTTCCCCACACCCCCTTAACAAAGTATATTA